TCTTCGGTTGCTGCAAGAAGTTCAGAGATAATGAAAGACTTAAGCTCTGGCCACTGGGCAGTTCCCAGAAGCCAAAATTAAACAGCATGGTTCAACTGTGCTGCTCCCATGAATAAATGTGCATTACTGTGAAAAATGCAAAGTAGGACGCTTCTAAAGAGGGCTGTGCACACTCAGCAGGAGCAAATTCCCTTCCAGAGGATAAAATGTACATCCCATGCCCAACCAAAATACATAAAAGCCCATCATATCAGTTTGCCGAATCAGCAGTCATCAGCGAAATAAACCTGGCAGATGATGTATACTGTACAGCGCAGACTGATATTTGTTGACAGGAGCAGAAGTGAAAGGTGAGACGAATCAGATGAGAGCAGCGGGCCTGGATGCTCTAAGCCCGGGTCTATTAGAGTCTGATTGCACGCATTAAGAGAGAGAGAGAAAAAGAGCGGAGCGATACGAGAAGCGTTTGCGCGACTCCTTCGGCCAGACTCTGCATTAACCACCGCCTGCTCTCTGCTTTGCTGAACACACAGGCTGATCGATAGCAATAAGTAAGGGGGGGTAGTGTGTGTGGCGGAGGAGGGACTTATAGAAGGACGAGAGGCGAGCAGGAGTGGAAAGAGACTCCAGCTTTACTGGAAGATAAGCCCGGATCGATCGCGAGACAAGGCCTGCGGCCGCTTGGACGGGCAGGACCGAGGAATGCAAGATGTGGCAGATTCACACCCGTTCACCTCATCAGGCCCGGCCGACGGGAACTCTGCGTGTGTTGGTGTGTGCGGATACTCAGACAGCACATGAAAAAGGAAACATGCACAGCTCTGAGGTTTTATTTTCCAGTTACCAGGTCTCAAGGTTTTTAAAAAGTGCTAGTTTCAAAATTGCAAAGAATTTTGCAGCAAAGCGTTCCAACAGTTGAATGTCCTTTCGGACTGGACAGTCAGAAAACTGCTGAAGTAAATGGAGTTTGTATGTAGAGTAAGTATAGTGCAAGGCAGCACTGCCATCCATCAACAGGTTCCTGCACACTGCTGGTCAACTGGCTGACAAAGTCTGCCTCTTGGAAATATCATTGGTTGAAGCATCATCAACAGTCATGTAGTGAAAACTAAAGACATGGACATATCTTCAAACGACGAATATTTGAGAGTATTTAACACTTGAGGCAGTTTCTTTTCACAAACTGAAAAGATGCGTCTTACTGGAGCTAATATTTCTGCTCTAGTACACCAAGAAGATTTCAACTTTGATTTTGTAGCTGTACATCCGGATTGTTCTGTCAGTTCATATTAAAATATTAAAAAAGATATTTTTAAGATGTAGGACTTCCAGTTGGGAGCCACACTCCCAATGAATTAGCAATTAGCTATTAGCTTAGCAGCAAAACAAGAAATCTGAATCAATTAAAGATCTTTGTTTTTGTAACCCTTGAAGAACTGCTGAAGGAGTCAGGAGAGTTTGGTTGTACTTCTTAATTCACGAAATCACAGATTTTGTGGCAGTATAATTATGAAATACTTGCAAGAAAATCTGCAATATTGTGACATTTTGTTACTTGCGACAAATCACTGACTATTTGACATCAATAAAGCGCTGAGGCAGCAGGTAGTACAAGTAATTAATACTGCCACCTGCAGCTGGGAGATGGTAGTCTTTGACATTTAATGTCAAAGACATTAAATCCAATGTCTTTGACCTTTTCTTTTAAGGATAATTTTGAATAAACTTCCAGTTATCATTAGAAAAAATTTAAATTTTTGCAATAAAATGGAGGGTACCCATTTTTGCAATTAGGCATCTGGAATGTAGAGGGGCCACATAAACAGCTATGGCGGGCTAGAGTTGGCCCCCGGGCCTTGAGTTTGAAGGAACTACACATCCACTCTAGCCTGCGAATGTTTAGTGAGTGCGACTGGGGAGAGGGAAGTCGGGGATTCCTCTCCAATAGACACCTGATCCCAGATTAGATTAGGACAAAATAACATCAGATGATGTAAAAAATGAAATGTTTTGGTAATTGGGGGCAGAAATGAATGCAAACGAGAGATTTACCTCACAGGGCAAGCACGAGAAACAAACAGAAAAATGCTGGCTCTGCATTAACACAATGAACTGAAAATAAAAAAAAAACAGTAAATGGAGTCGCCTTTTATTGTTTTGCTTTAATGTAATCAGCTTGTAGTTCATGTACTATATATGTCAGCATGCTTACAGTGAATTAACACTGCTGCTGCTGCTGCTGCTGGGCGGATGGATGCTCGCATTTAGAAGCAACGCATTTATCAGAGCCTCCCTGACACCTGCCACGCTGCCGTGATAACCTGCATCTCTATCTGTCTCGCTTCTTTCCTCCCGCCTCCCTCGATCTCTCTCTTGATCTCCATGCCTTCGCTGTCACCCTCTCCTCCCCTCCAATGTTTCACCCCCGCACACACACACACATCCCGATGAGCTCCCAGCTCATGTGAGATGGCACCCTGTCAGAGGAAAACCATTTATGATCAGCAACCAATATCCTCCCAGAGATAAACACGCTCTCAGAGATAGAACCGGAATTATTAGAGAGAAGAAGGGATAAGTGTGGAAGAGAAGCACACACTCGGAGGAAAAAAGTCGAGAGAGAAGGGAAGAAGAATGCAGCCCGGAGCTGTTTTTTCACAGCTTTGTGACTTCGAGTGTGTGTTTGCGTGTGTGTGTGTGTGTGTGTGTCGTTCTGCCGTTGTCACCAAACATGCGGGTGTTTGTCTGCACGTCCCTCTTCACTTTGGCACGTCTCAGTATTCTCTACACATTCGCCGGCATACAAATGACTTTTTTTATCAGAGGCAATTTACTTCAGTCTGCTGGAGCTCCCGGTCGCTCGATCAGGCAGACAACTAATCGTACATGAGAGAGCGCTTCATCACACACTTCAACAAAAAAAACAAAAAAAAAGAGGGGAGCTACCCACAAACTAACACACCGAGAGACAAAACGGTGGTGGTGTTTTTTTTTTTTGTTTTTTTTTTTGCTGTGATAGAGCGCATATTTTCGGGTCGGAAGGTAAAAGTAACACAACGGGAGATTTGAAGGGGAGCGGCAAAAGCTAAAGAGGCGGATTAGCAGCTAGTCACAAATAATCCTCATCAAATATGAAGCCTGACCGGCCATTCAGATTTTGGCCGATAGCCAAAAGAAAGTCGCTGAGTTGACAACATTGGGGCGACTATTGTTAACTGCAAACGTCCAGACATGAGCTGGTGGGCCGCTCTGTCAGTCAGTTTCTTTATTTGTCTGACAGCAGGGAAACAGAGGACTTGATTTTTAAACCTTTCCTGAAGTCGATAAAATCGGGGAATAAAATCCATCACAGAACTTCAACAATTAAGGAATTCAGCCCCAATAAATTAGTGCGTTTTACTGTGGAATATCATCTCCGCTGTTCGGACTTTGAGCTGTTAGCATGTCATAACAATGGGCCAGACTTGAGAAATGTCTTACAGAGGCTGTAGCCCAGGGCCCCATTTCTTTTGGGCGTGGGAAAGATTTTTTTTTTCTCTTCTATTTTTGAATGAATGCTTTGCAAACATTGTGCTTCGTATTAAACTCATAAGCCCAAATAAAGTGAGTTGTTTTAATATTTTGGGATTTTTACCAATATAAATAATATTCAATTATTTACATTTTTTGTAAACAAAATGGGGGTAATTAGCAACATATGACTGTAAAACTTATAATTACAACCTTAATTCACTTAACTAGGATTAGAAACTTGTAATTACCACTTTAGGACTCATATGTACAACTTTGATTTTGTAATTACAACTTTAAGAACTTGTAATTACACTTACATTTTGTAATTATGGCATTAAAATCTTGTAATTATGTATTTAGAACTTGTATTTGTGACTTTTATTCTTGTAATCGTGACTGCCTGTTCGACATTTTCTTTCAAAAACATAGAAAAAGTCACTTCCATAAGATCAAAGACAGAGATGTAAGAATACACTCCACACGATAATGCAGTTGTAAAGTAATACAACTGGGGAAAGTTGAAGTCCTGTAAATGATTTTGCCAGGCGCTGCACTGTTTGTGATTGGCTGAACCAAACCGGCTCAGAGTCCAGGACACATCAATCTCACTCTTTATTAGAAGCCGAGGGCCAAAATGAAATCTTTAACCATTCCAAGGGCCACTTTACACCAGAAAGTAATCAGAAACAGTGAGAGCGGTGCTACATTTTCATTTGCACCGAAATCATTTGCACCCCCCCGCGCCGCATTACGGGAGCTTCAACAGTCAGAAATCACAGAATATGAACCGCACCGAAAACTGTAACAAATGACTTCTGGGCACATTCCGATTTCACCTTTGGATCATGATAGAGAGCGTGCCAACTTTTATTTACAGCAAACCCAAACTTTGATTTAGTGCCTCGGATTATGTTGTGGTCTTACAGGTGAAATAAGAAAGAGGGCGATGGGGAGGGAGAGAAGGAGGGGGGACCACCTTTCTCTTCTAATCACTAAAACTCTGAGAATCAGAAGTGAGCAGCCAGAATCCCCCCCACACACCTGCACACACACACCTGCATGCACACCTTCCTACCCAATAACCTTCAGCATCATTCCTAACAAAACACTCTGAAATCTGAAATCCAATATCTGACCCGAATCCAACCTCCCTCTCCCTTTTTGGGTCCCGTCTTTTTCCCCTCTTATCTCATGAAAGGCTCGTTGTAGATCTCTGCTCGCTCTTTGTTTCGTTGCAGATTCATTTCTTTTTTGGAGTTCCTGAAAATGACTATAATTTTCGCATCTCTATTTGACTGCCTCCCTCTCCCCCCTCCTCATATTCACTTTCTTACATCTTCCTCTCTGTCATGTTGAATGGCCCCCAGCATCCCCTCCTCCCTGGGCTGTTTGCTGAGGAAGGTTTCAGAGGAGAGAAGAAAACATGTTTCTGTTTCTCTTCTCCTCCCTTTGTTCTGTTGTTTTTTTTGCCTTTCTTCTTTTCTTACTTGTTTTTCGCCTCCTCCCTCGTGCGCCTCCGTGCTTTCCTTTGAATCTCCTCTCGGTTGTTTTTTCTCTCTTTTTTTGTGTTCGCCGCAGAGTTCTTCTTCGTGAATGTTGAACAGCGACGCTCGACTCAGACGAAGGTCACATTGGCCTGCAGGAGACAAAAGAAGAGAAAACAGGTTGCAGATGATGAGTGACGCTTGTTCGCATGGAAGGTGAGACTGACAGGGCATCTTTAAGTGCTCTGATGTCCAAAAAAAAGGCATTTATATAAGAAAAACAAAGATTCAGTTTGGATAAATCTATAATTCAGAGATATTAAAACCTCTGATCCATCCAAAACTTTGAACAGGACGTCTAAAATCTCCCAAAACTGCATTTGAATATCTATTCCTGTAACCATGGCAATGAAGATCAGCTTTTTATCCCACTACCGCAAGCCTAAAGTCAACCTTTGTTCTCGCCGTCACCAAAATGTAACCTTGACTGCACGTTTACAATGCTGGGCGACGATGAAGTGCAGTTTCTAAAGTAACATTGGAGCCATTCTTCTGTGCTTTGCGATTCTCCCAACATTAATCCTTTGAGGGGCTTTTCAAACTGAAGAGATGCTGAAATTGCGATCAAGGCGCCAGTCCTTTTGATAAACTGGAAGATGATTGTTCTTTAAAGTCGCTCCAGCACTGCTTTCGTCTGCGACTGCGATAAACGGGGAATAACAGGTCGCACAAAAAGACCACACTTTTTTCATATTTAGTTTGTTTTTCTTCTTTTATTTTGGTTGTGTTATTTTCCCAACAATATAACTGTCATGACCGGTGGTGGTGAGTGGTGAGAGAGACGCAGGCTGGCCCAGGATGTCATAAAGAAGTAGGTTTAATGACGAATAATCCACAAATTAACAGAATCCAACACACAGGTTGCACAGGGAGCAACGGGGAAGACAGAGCGTGCAGCGAAACAGACAGCCTTAACAGAGACGCACACACGATGAGGACCCTACAAAGGACAGAGACAACAGGTGGGGTTAAATACACAGGGAAGGTAATCAGGGAACTGGACACAGCTGGGAGCAATCAACAGGGAAGACACAGAGTCACAGGGGAAACAGAACTAAATAAACACAGAAAAAACCTCAAAATACACAGAAAACACAGATCGTCACAATAACTTGCAAGAAAAAAGAAAGGTGTAACAGCTTGTTTGATTGTTTACAAATGCAATTTAAGATATCAATCCACAGTTTTATGCTGGGTTTTTTTTCTAAATATGACGTGATAAAAAAATCTTACAACAAAATGCATTAAACTCATCAGATACGCACTTTTGTCTTTAGAAATCAGATCTGCCATGTTTTAAGTCGCAGGAATTAACCGGAACGTCAGATATGATTCGTGAAACTAAGCGTTTTCCATCTAAAATGGCTGCCATCAGCTGCAGCAAGAAACAGTTTTATGATGTTTTTTTTTTAAAACTTCTGACGTTTGTATTAAATCTCACATAACGCAGCTACTACACACACTTATTTAATAAAAACTTTTCTACAATGTTTTTATTTTTAAAACGGACAAAAAGTAAGTTGATTAGCTTTGTTAGCATTGTTTTCCGAATATCACATAACGTTTGGCAACAGACGTAATATATATATATATATTTATTTTGTAAAGATTTGCACTTACCTATGATCAGGGGTCCCGCCAGGAATCATGGGACCCCTGACAAAAAATTAGTTTGGGCCCCTCCCGCGCAATTTTTTGAGCCATTCTTCTGTGCACATCACAATTCTAAAGACCTGCATCTGCCTTGCTTTCTGTGGTTCAGTACTAATAATTAGCACAATATTTACTGCTCATGAATTATATTTACTGCTCATGAACGTGGGTTAGAGCTGGTGCTGACTGACTCATCTGTGGTTAAGTGGTAAAAGGTACAGGGACAAGTTAAATATATGAATATGTTGGTAATTTCTTTCCTTAATTCATTATATTCTAATGAAAAGGAGGCAAACAGTAGTTTGTAGCTAAGCTAACTATGCTAAATGGTTGATAATCTCACACAGTCTACTCACCTCTCTTGGAGAAAAACTGGGTTATAAATTAACACTTTTGTCTTTTTCTCTCTCTCATTTTTTTTTTAAACCTGCTTTTATAACTTTTCTTAGCAGCATAGGAACTGCTACAATCGTTCGTGTCTTCCACTGTCTGCTGCTCACAGCGTCACTCTGACGCGCTCCAAGCAGGAACGAGCCATTTAACGCAGATAGGGGGGTTCAGGGCAAATATGGATGTGTGTTTTTTGGTCTGGGAGTGGGAACATTCAATTTTTACTGCTAAAAACAATCTTTGAAAATACAATATGATTAATTTTGTAATTGACAGGACCCTGATTTTTTTTATTTATTTTTTTTATTTCTATTAACAAAAAATAAATAATTAAATTGTGGAGGGCCCCCTGCTGCCTATGATAGATGGGGAAAAAAAAGTTAGCTAGCTAGCATGTCTTTTACATTTGCAGCTAGTTATCTGAAGCTATCACCTTTGCTAGCTAATCAAACTTTTAAACTTTTTACAGCTTTATTAGCAAAGAGGATGAACAAAATCTAAAAGGTTGGTGGACAGTGTCCTCTAAATTGTAGTTTTTAGCAACATGTCTGTTTTTTACAAAACGCAAGTTTGGCGCCGGCGATTCCTTCCGAAGGCACGACGAGATTCCCCATCAACAGAAACGGCTAACTGATCCCAATCAGAGCGCCGAGGGCCCGGCAGAAGCTGTCAGTAACACATGGGCCGGATGGAGGAGCACAGAGTGAGCCCACAAAGGCAGCGCCGAATCCTCTGACACCGTCATACTTCATCCTCCGCTGTAATAAACCAGACACTGGAAACGCACAGAGCCTCTGGTCAGTGTTTCACTTTATCGACTGTGAAAGCTGTGTGATGTTAATCAAACTTCATTGATTCAAGCACGCTCACCCTTCACTCAAACACGCGTGCCCACTCAAACTAAAATATGCAACAAAAACCTTGGCATAATTTCAACTCAACAATAAAAAGCTTTTAGAGACTTGTTTTTTTTTAGGGGTTTTAAGTGAAAAACTTGAAAACCTTGTGAATACAATCAGAAAGACATTTTAAAAGTCAAGACAACTATTTTTCAAGCTATAAATTTAATCCTTTTATGCAACCCTGTAAGCTTTAAAAAGAAAAAAAAAGTCGATTTAGTATCACTTGTGGAAGAATCTGCTCCATCTAGGAAGGTTAATTTAATCCTTTCTGGCTTTCACTGGCTGGTGAAGATCTCTTCTTACTTTTACATCCTTTACTAAAGTACATCAAAGTCCCCAGATAACCCCCCCACCCCTGTCCTAAAGGCTGTTACGCAAAAGTCTAAAACTCTCTTTGACAGCAGGTCCTTAAAAATACAGTTAGGTCATCTTCTGGAAAGTGAATTTCAGCTTAATGTGGAACCTCGTGCTTCTGAGTAAGTCACCATATTAGGACACGTGTAAGCATGTGCGTGTGCTGGCAGCGTCTGGTAGACTGTTTAACCCCTGCGATGAGTCCCAGCGCGTCTGCCGAAGCCGAAACGGCAGCAGGAACAAGAAGTACGCTTAGAGAAGGAGGTGAGGGAGAGAAATATGTGTCCAAAATGAAATACGTGGCTGCTGTCAGCGCTTCGGTTACCTATCGAGTTGGATGAAGTCATACACGAGTATGTGACAGCCCAGCAGCGCTCTGGTGGATTTTTCAGAAATAAGTAAGTCATCCAGACCTCAACTTTCCATTGGCTTTCTCCAGAACGGAGCAGCAGCCAAAAAGCTCTGCACACCGCCTCTAAAAACACATAAATATGCGCAGGCATCCACACAGCACGCATGTGGGGAAGGAGTCACAAACACAGGCCTTCTGCAGCTTTCATCAACTTAAATTTAAGACTTTTAAAGACCCTTTTAAGACCATTACGGATAAAATCTAAGACATACATCGCAACAAATGTAATATAGATACATAAATATGTATTTATATTTATACTGTAAACATCTGCACTTACCTATGAAACAAAAAAACTTATATAGCTGGCATGTCTATCGCCTTTGCATCCAAAATGAACGAGGTACTAGCAGCTAGTTACCTATAGCTATCGCCTTTGCTAGTTACCTATAGCTATCACCTTAGCAAACTTGGTTGCTAGCAAACCAAGTTGTACTAGCAGCTGATACCCATAGCTATGACCTGGAAAGTGAATTTCAACTTAATGTGGAACCTCATGCTTCTAAGTCACCATATTAGGACACGTCTACACTAGTTAACACACTAGCAAAGTTGTATTAACATCTAGTTACCTGCAGCTATCACCTGTGCTAGCTAACAAGCTAGCAGCTAGTTACCTGTAGCTATCACCAACTGAACTAATCTGAAAAATTTCAAGTTGATGATGCAAAACTAGCTTGTATGTTGTTGTGCAGCCTGTGGTCAGAGAAGGTAGATTGGTGGGTTTTATCCATTTATTGACTTTTGGAGAACTACCTGCCTCATAGCAGTTTCCTTGTGGAGGGACGCAGCCCCTGCAAGAAGTGAGCGTGGGGGAAGATGTTATTTCACACATGAGGTGTCAGGAATACCTATACGGCCCACCGCTGCAGAGCACGTCATACACAAAAATAGAGGTATGTTGAAAATTCCTGAGGAAATAAACTTCATTTTAAGTTTAGAAAATTTAACTGACATCTTTTAAGATTGAAGCCTTCTAATTTAACCTATTGTACAACTTTTGAGATATACACAAAGTTTGGAGTCCTGTTGCTCAGAGTTAAACCTAACTATTTTTTTGTCAATTTCAAAGTCAGTGAATGCCTCATCACCAATATACACAGTAAAATGCCAGTGTCGCATTAACATCCAAAGGTGTTTATATTGGGTGTTAATGCAACACTGGCATTTTATTGTGTACATATTAACAACCAGTTATTAACCATTCAATATCTTCAGGCTCAAGTCTACTATGTACTGCCAAAACAATACTTAAAGAAAAGAGAAACAGGAATTAACATAAATGCTCCACAGGTCTGGAACAAACATCCACAAAATTGATGATTTTGATGATATCATGTGACAAAATGTTATGTTTATTGCTGCTTGATTTACCGTTGTCTGATTTACCGTGACTGTGAGATATTTTTAATATATGAAGCACTTTGAACTAGTTACCTGCAACTATCACCTGTGCTAGCTAACAAGCTAGCAGCTAGTTACCTGTAGTTGCAACTGCCTTGTCTCACAAAGCGCAATTAGCATGTCTGTGTGCGACTCAAACTTTTGCCTAACAGAAAAGTCCTGCGGGGAAAAATAAAACCCGCAGTAAATATGAGATTAGTCTCTCATATTCAATGTGAGACCTGTACTATTTTAAGACATGCTATTAAAATATTGCAGGCCAAATTAAATGTTTTTTTTTTAAATTACTTTATGACATTTTAAATGGTAAATGGCCTGTACTTGTTTATCAAGTATGAGAGAATCCCAAAGCGGTTCACACAACATCCAGTCATTCATATGTTAAGGCCTTAATTTTAGATACATAGGACTAATGTAAGCATGTGTGTGTGGCCATCCTGAAATAGACAGGCGGGGTGGGGGGAAGAGGGATAACGAATGAGCGGCAGAAGGGCCTGGTTAAAAAGCAGGACACCTGCACACACACACACACACACACACACACACACACACACACACACACACACACACACACATTTGTCTGGCTATCTTTGTGGGGACTTTCCATTGACTTCCATTCATTTCTACAGCCTAAACCTTACCTTTACCCTTTTCCTAACCCTAACCATCACATACCTAACCCTAACCCTATCCAAAACTCAATTCATACCTTAGCCCTAACTCTGACCCCTGACCCAAAAACCGGGTTTCCCCTTGTGGGGACCAGGCACTGGTCCCCACAAGGAGCAATTGGTCCCCACAACATAGTATATGTCAGGAAAATCATCCCCACAAGGTATTACAAACAAACGCGCACGCACGCACGCACACACACACACACACACACACCTCCAGCTGCTGGCTGCCTGCGTGTTTGACAGGCGGCGCGCTGAGTGGCTGTGTGGACGCCAGCCAAACGCTCGCGAATCACCAATGACTAACTGTGCAAAGCGGAACTCTCTAAGCTAATCACCTGCATGCTCATTGTAAACAAATACTGTAAATTGAGAGTGGATGCGTCGCACAGCCACACTCAGCTCCCCGCACCTGAATCCGCGTTGTCGAGTTTGTGCAGTCGTTATGCGCAGCCCTCTCTATCAAGCCCAATTGTTGAAGCCCGGCGCCTTTAATTGCCTTACAGCAAATTTGACATTGTCCACACTGACTGCACTCTGATGAGAGGAAGAAAAGCGGAGCGGCGCTGGATCCACCACTTCCTCCAATCAGCAAAAGACGAGAGGCACCCCGAAGCCACGCTCTGTTTGATCGCCCGCGCAAGGCAACAAGCCACGCAACGCAACGGGGACGCTAATCTCACGCAAAGACGGGCCTCTGAGTGCATGCCAGCCTGGTAAGACCGAGCATGAATGCTTTGCGTGCCGGGCGGTGGAGGCTCTAATCAGTGGCACAATTGGAAGAGGCATGCTGCAATAAAGTCCAGCAAAACGCCTGCCAGTCTCATTTAGAGGCAAACAGTCTTCCAAGATCCGACTGAAGAAACACACACACACACACACACAGGCGCGTACAGTAGAGGGGAACACACTCCATCTCGGTGAACATCTGGTGGAGGTCAGCCGGCTGCCAGCAGCCTCCGCTGGCCGCACAAAGCAAAAATGAGAACCGGGAGATGAAAAAGATCTCGAGGCTCAAAAGCTGGACTTCAGAATGGATATTTCCTCCAGAGTGATTGGACTGTAAGTGCAGCTTATCATTCACGCGTCGCAATTTACAGGCTAAAATTAGGGTGGTCCTCATTTGCCGAGGCCGTTATCAGCATGACTGGCTGACAGAGTCGATTCATACCGACATCCCTCCGGGGACTTGTCAATAGTCAGCTGAAGGAAGTATCAGTTATTCATTGCGGACCAGACACGACTGATGAACAGCAGACAGCGCAGCATTTGTCTTCTTCCCGCTCCGCTCCGTATGGGACATGTTATGTCTGCTCGGTTGCTATTCCTGGTCGAAGACAGACAGACTCGTGTCCATGTTTTGCCACGTTACACCCAGTGACTGCAATACATTTTTATGGGGATTTGATGTAATAGACTAAAAACAAAGTGGTAGCAACTTGTGAAGAGAAGACGAGTAATATTTTTGCAAGTAAAAGTTTAAAAAGTCTGTTGGGAATTTATTTTCAATAGTTTGTAGAACCAACTTTTATTGCAATTACTAGGCTGAAAGATGTCATTGACTTTTTTTTTTCCATTTGTTCTGCTGCCCTTTGAACAGCCTGTTTCCCTTCCTCGCCTTTGGTGGCTCTACACCAAAAATCACTGAAGGAAACGACACCAAAACCTCTGTAGGAGCCATGAGCGCAACTTCTTTCTTCACAAAATGTAAATAAAAATGGAGTGGAGTCAGATTTTAGTGATTTTAGGATTTCTCTTTTGTCTTTGACAAAAGGCTACGAACCATTTCTTGAATCTAACGCTAGCCTCTCAAGTTTGTTTTGATTGTTTTTACCCAGAATCCTCTAGGCTGCTGAAGTCTGCATCCAGCTCAAGTTTTTAGGAGAACCAGAGTTTACTTTTTTTGGTCCACATCAGAGTTTGATTCACATCTCACCAAACAAACTGGACTTTCTAGGCAAACAAACTAGATTTCGGTTAAAGAAGACTAGAGAGCTTTGATGTGAATGTGCCCTTAATTAGGCCAAAATAACATCAATTCTTGATACAATATCAGGAATAGTTACATTTGCAACAACCAGGTTGGTTTGGATACCAACCAAAAATCATTTGAAATTGGTAGATTTTTTTAGGCTATTTTTGTCTAATATTAAAATTATTTGATGATCTGAAATGTAAGCTTAACAACAAAAAAAGTGTAAATACAAAGAAACCTGTGAGTGAAATATTTATTTGCTGCATTGTTTTCTAGAACTTAAGACATTAAAGTATCAAACAAAACAGGACAAAGAAAAATGTCGAGCTGCTTGAAAGTGATGCAAAGCAACCTCTTCTTTTTCTCTCTCTCCCTTTAGATCATCCTTCAGACGATGAATCCATGATGCCAACCACTTTTTGGAGTTCAAAACAAAAGTAAACCTCCTGCCGATTCTGTTTTACGACAACATTACCAGCAACAAAGAAGAGGATGGACTCCTCCAGCTCTAGACTTTGTATCTCTGGCCCACAACACAGATGCTATCACAGCCTCTGGCACCGCAGCCAGTTATTCGTATCCACTGAGTTTCTGGCACGAGGCGTACGATTGGTTTCGAGTCCTATTGTCTCCGCGAAATAATAATGATAATAAAAAAAATGTTGGTGTTGACAGAGAAAGAAAGTGATTGTGATTTTAATTTTTTTCCTTCTTCTCCTGTGAAGTAGGACTCTTTTACTATCATCCACTCATTTCCTGTGTGAAGAGAAGAGCCTGCGTCATTGCTTCTGGCATCTGATATTGGCTGGAGCCGAGGAGCCGTGATTATTATTCTCGCTGTGCCAGAACCCACGGGAGACCCGGTGGACACAAAATACCGAGCAGCACCTGGTGTGCCAGCTAAACTGAAGAAGAGACGCACGGGTGAAGAAAAGAAAAGGAAAAAAAAAAAACGTTTCCTCACATTCACCCACTGCACAGATGTGATTGCTTTGTATTAGGGCCAAATGAAAGTGAAATGGGACGGAATCTTACTATGATGCCGGAAGGGTTGTTTCTCTTAAAACAAGTGTGTTTTCTAAGGGAAAGCTGTGTAAAAATGAGTCTCTGGGCTGAGAGGTGGGACGCCTATGTGGTTGTTTGTGTATGTGTGTTTTTAGAAACATCGGTTTCCATAAGTAGGAGGATGAGGCAGCAAAGCACCGGCTCCGGCCTCAGACCCTTTTGCAATATTGCCCTGGGCGGTTGGGAGATCCGTCCCAATATTTGTCTCATAAAGAGCAAAGCCAAACAAATCTCTCCGGCTGCGGTACCCTGTGATAAAACCCATCGTCTTACACACACACACACACACACACACACACACACACACACACACACACACACACACGGGTCTTTTTCCTGGATCACCTCCACTCCTGGACTTTAGCTTTTCCCTCTGCATGCACTTTAGCACGGTCAGATCAAGACTCAAATTTGAAATCTGTGTGGGCAACGCTGTGCGTCATTTTCATGCAGAGCACTCAAAAAAATAGGCTAAAAAGGCTTTCGGATGAACCAGCATCGGTTCTCACAAGCTGCGTTTCCTTTACACACATGCGCAAAACTCTGTCGATTTTCCACTAATATCAAACAACCCCGCAATTACACAACTGCAGTGTTTCCTTTAAATGAGAAATGAAATTAAAATCACATGTGAATAAGTTTGCTCACGCGATGTCATTAAAAATCCTCCTCCTACCACTTGCTGTTCATCTTCTTTGTCGTTTTTGCCAGTAGTAATGTCCGGTTGCTGATCATGTGACTCGTGATGCAAAAAAAAAAAAAAAGGGTTTCCATTGCAGTTTTGCTTATAAGGTATTAGAACTTACAACTTGTTAGTTTTGTCTGGTGTCTTGCACAAAAAACACTTGGTAAGAGTTTTGTGCTTACCGACTGCTCATGCTGCTCCGCAAGTCCCCACTTCCAAAATATCCATAATATTCATTTAAATAAAGGAATAGAGAAAAAAAGATTAAAGTGCTGAAAAGCCACTGAAAGCACAGATGAAAGTTTTGGAGGAACTTGGATCATCATGTAAGATATGAACCTGAATAATTTGATGTATCATCAGCAGCACCTACACAGACGCTGCAGGCGTCTCAGTGCTTTTCTGCCTCTCATCTCAGTTGAGGGAAAACATCTTTATAATCAGACAGACCTTAATATTCACAGGTGAAAAAAAAAAAAAGAACTCAAAGCAAGAAGTTGGTTTTCTTCTTTTTAATTCCGCAGCGTTTTGGCTGCGCCCTCAGGAGACGAAGGAGTTCTTTACACCTCCCTGAAGGAGGCCTTCGCCTAATACGGGCAGGAGGTGAGGGTCATTTCAGCTCCTGCGTGGGCCCTGCAAAGAACAACCAGCGCCTGTCGCCGAATGAGCAAGCTGGAGGGGGGGGGAAAGAAAAACAAGAACCGCCTGTGAGCGCAGCCTGTCATTTCACAGACTCATTCAAGGTCAAAGTGACTGTGATTTTTCTTCCTCTCCTCCTGTATAATAACCAGAGGCAGGGATATCCTGTTTCATTAGCTTTCCGCGCACACACACGCCGTGCTCCCGCTGTCTGTCCGACTAAACGCGGGCGGCCGAGGGTCAGCGCTGCAGCTGAAACAGCAAAGAAGCAGAAAGCTCCACATGGCTGGAGGATTACTGATGGAAGGAGGGGTGTGTGTGTGCGTGTGTGTGTGTGTGTGGTGGTAATAAAAGACCTAATGTACACTATTGGTTCATCTACCTACATGAATGTGTTGTTGCCACATGGTGAACTGCGTCACGTCAAGTTGTTGTGCATCATAACTAGAGATACACCAATCCAATATTAATATCGTGTATCAGTCCGATATTGAAAAAATATTCTAGATCGGGTATCGGCAATAATGTGCCCGATCCATAATCTATACAGTCTGATTCTATGCTTGGTGCTCTGAGCGACATCATGCTTTATTATTCATTTGACATTATAGTTAGAATTCATAATTGGACTTTCTGAACCATTTGAAAGAAAGTTTCTTGCTGTTTATTTGACCAACACAGTCAACCTGTTTTTGTCAGTTTTAATTTCTTTATTTAGTTTTAGCTTTAATTACTTCTTTTACCTTTTCATGATAATTGTGTTGTACTTTCCCTGTTTTCTATTTGTATAAAAACTTAGCTTTTTGAATAATTCAGGAGCATTTACAGAAATGTCAGTAGAGCCGCA